TTTCTCTTCCACCCCTTCTACATTTTTCGTGTTACCCGCCCTCCCCACCCCCATCACCTCCCGGCGGAGGTAGGGGCGGGGCAGGTTGGCATTCCTCCTTGCCCAGAGGGCGGGCACGCCATACGTTCACCCAGGAGGCGATGGGCGGGCCGCTCCTAGCGTCGGGCCCTTGGGGCTGCCTGGAGAGGGCCAGGCCGGCCGGGCGGAAGGGCGTGCCGCTGGCGACGGAGGCCGGGAGGCAGCCAGACCTGCCTTACCGCCGGATGCCAGGGTCCTGCCTCTTCCGGCCCAGCTACCGGGAGCCCAGCGTGGAATATGACCTTTTGGACCCTCTGGGTGGAGACGATCGCGTGGACTGTGGAGAGAGGCACCCCGCCATCTCAAGGCCATCTGGGTCCACCGCTGTCTCCAGCTGGCCTGTGACCTTGGCAGGACCCTGCTCCGCGGGGATCTGTGGTCTCCCCACGGAACCAGGAGGAGGAAGTTGGTGGATAACCTTTTGAGCCGTTTCTGAGCCTCCAAAGGTGTGTGGGGGGAGCGTTTGGTATGGCAGTGACTCCCCCGGCCACCGCCCATCTCTGGGACCTCAGAGAATAGTTGAATCTCTGAAGGCTCGGTGTCTTCAGCCTCACGCGGAGTGGATGACCCTCAGGTGTGTCGTGGCCCCTCAGGATGTTCTGAGGCACCAGGGGAGCGGGTCCATAGGCATGTCACTGACCACCCTAACCTGTGCTGCCAAATGAGTCCGCCCCACAAATGCCACCTGGCAGCTCCCCTTGGGGTCTGTGGCAAGGACCAGTTTGAAGTGTCTTTCTTGTCTTCCTAAACCTCTCCAGGAATTCCTGGTGAATAGAAGAAGAATGGCCTGGGTCCCCAGAGCATCTCACAGGTAAGGAAGCAGGGCCCCCGGCTGGTGGGAGTACCCAGGTCCTCAGCTGCCTGCCCTGACCCTGCCACCTCTGAGCCGCTGGCCTGGGGAGTTTTAGCTACAGATCCAGCCCCTACATCGCACTGGAGCTGGGTCCAAATCAAACACGCTCCGTGCTGGCTGGGGCTGGGTGCTGCCAGCCTCTTGGCCAGGCAGGGGTGGGTGGGCTGGGGCCAGTGTCAGCTGTTCTGCCCGGACCCAGACGGGGCTGGACAGACTCACTCTTCCTCTCCCCCTCCTCTCAGCCTTGTGTAAGTGGTTTGTTCTGTCATAAGTTCAAATTGCAGCCCCATCTCTCAGATGGAAAGTGGAAACTGAGGAGTGAGGATTTTGAGGATAGTCAGGAGTCCCCCCACAGGCCCATGCGGTTAATTTCTAAGTGAATTCTCCCCAGGCCCCTCCCCCTCTTACTCTCCCAGTCCCTCCCTACGCTTTGGGGTTCCTGCTTTAGGGTCACTGCTGCGGCAGGCCTGAGATGAGAAGGTTGCAAAGATAAGTGGTCCTCCTTCCTTCGTTGGAAACTCTCTTCCATCCTTCCCCTCCTCCTGGGGTCCTGGGGTCATTTCTGACATGTGTCTGGACCTGGTCTCTTCTCCTGCCAACCTCAGGCTGCCTCACCAGCCAATCATAGCTCCTCTGAAGAGAGCTTGGGGGTCCAGTTTGGCTGGGCCAGTTCAGGAACCTTCTGTCCAGCGCCCCCTGCTTGAGCCTGACAGCTAGGCCCTCTGTGGGCTAACCCTGGTTACCTTGACAACAGCGTCTGGCCTCCTTCCTCACTCCCCCGCCACTGCCAAACCTGCTGGGGTTTTCCAGCCACCATGCATTTGCCCAGGCTGGGTACCCATCTGGCCTGCTCTCCCAGCACTGCCAAGCTTAGTTCACGTACCAGCCAGCTCTCAGCCTCCTCTGAGCTCCTCACAGGTAGGAACACAGTTTCCTCTCAATAAACTTGTGTTGCAAAAAAAGAATGAATGAGTTGCTGTAAATTTTTCTGAGGGTGCTTGACCCCACGGATGCCACCCAACAAGCTGAAACTGGGCTTTAACTTACCTCCTCTTCCCAGCTCTGGCTCTTTCGGGGCTTCCACGGGCGGTCGCTGCTGCCCTCTGGTGGCCAGACCCTGCCTTGCACCCGCCGAAAACCTTGACCCTGCATTTATGGAACTGCCAGGTTGGCAATTTCCTGCCTGAAGTAAAGTTTACCTCATCTTTGCCGAGAACTTGAAAATTGGTAATCTTCGGGGTGGGGTAAGGGCAAGAAGATCCTGAGTCCTGCCAGCCCCTCTTGGAGGAAACTCCCAGAGGTCCTACCCCAGCTGGGAAGGCCCTGCTTGCTCCCTTGGCCATGCCCCTAACCTGCCTGCCACTCCTACCAGTGGCCTGGCTTGTAAAAAGGATGTCAGCCCAGGGTCGCAGGGAGGGGAGGGATGGAGGACAGGTGATAGCAGCCACCTGCCCGACAGTACCTATGCATGGGGAGTACTCGATAAATAGCAGTTTTGGCCAGGGAGGTGGGAGGATTGGGAAGAACCCTTGAGATGAAAGACGCGTGGCTGCTGGCTGTAAAACAAATTTCTGGGCGGAGGTGGGGGTTATCAGTCTCAAATGATCTCAGCTAGCGCTGCCCTGGCCTTCCTCGACAGTGTCCGGCTGGTCAATGCCTCCAGCCCCTGCTAGAAAGAGGTTCCCGCCCACGTGATTAGGGCGCTCACCTGTCACCCATGCTCAGGCGGTCGCCCGGCAGAGGGCGCCAGAGGTCTACCTTGCGCCCCTAGGGAGGCGGGGAGGGGGTAGGTAAGCGGAACCACTATTTATTCCCCACCCCCACCCCGCGCCCACACAGACCCAGACGAGGTGGGCAGGCACAACTCCCGTGCCGGCATCTTCCCTGGCACCACCTACCTACCTCCTGTGGGGAAACAGGTGTGAGGCGGACTTGCCCCAGCCCCACAGCTGGAGCGATGCAAAGCTGGGGGGCTTCTCCCAAAGCTTGAAACCAAGGCTCCACAAACCAGGGTGCTGGGGCGGGGGGGCAACCCGCCAATCAAAGAGACCCTGTCCAAGCCGGCCAATCAACGAGCCCCTGGCAGAAGGCGGCGCCTGCCAATTAGGGGCCCCACGAGCAGCGGCGGAAACGGTGGGGGGCGCGCCGTGATGAGCTGGGGGGCGGGTAGGAGCTGCGCTGGCGCCTGAGCACCCCGTTGCGCAGTTTCCCTGCGAATGAAGGGTGAACGCCCCGGGCTGGGACCCTAGCCGGAAGGAAACTGAGGCTGGAGGGTCGGCCCGGGCGGCTGTCTGACGGGGGCGGGGGCCTCCCGGGGGTGGGGGCTCACCCTGTCTTCGCCCCGCCCGCTAGCTTAGCCCCGGCGCTCAGCCCCGCGCGCTGCTGCCAGTACCGCCGGCTCCGGGCTATGGACGCCCCGCGACCCCGGGGCCGCCCGGCGCCCGGGCGCGGGAGGAAGGAGCTGAAGATCGTGATCTTGGCCGACGGCCGGCTTGC